GCATTCTCCCCTTTGTTTCTGAAGAATTTGGGTATTTATATCGCGTTTAGATCAAGTTTCCATAAGAATTTCATCGCGAATAGGAATTTGCAGAATCGGCCCCAGAATATGCCTATGCGACCGCATAGGTTTATGAAATTTGTTTTCGCGACCGCATAGTAGAACATAAGTTCAAATTATGTCATGTTGGTCCTTAAACTTTATTCATCCACTTATTGACCTCCTTTCGTGTTTCTAGTTGTTCCTATGTTCCATTATGATCTCCAATTGGTACTTAGCTCGATCAATTGCTTGATGTGTCCATCGGATCAACTTTCAAATAATTGCACTTTGGTCCATGAACTTTCACTTTGCTTCAATTTAGTCCTTTTTTTGCCTCTTTTCTCCTGAATTTTACCATGTCCATCAGTATATCCTACGATACACAAATTAACCATAATTAAGTCACAATTTCAATATTTTGCTCTTAATTAAGTTATGTTTGTGAACTAAATAAGTGTGTAAAAGTACACTTATCAAACCCCCAAACTTGAACTATTGTTTGTATTCAAACAAGATAGTGACTTATATCTACACAAACATGGCTTAATAACCTGCCATATCTCAGGATTGGACTAAGTATTAGGCTTCAATAAAATTTGATCAGTGTAAGAATGAAACCAACCTTTACCCGTTAAATGAATACTCGACGTGTGTGTATGAAATCATGCCAACATATCAAGTTCATGATAGGATGAGTCTCATCCCAAAGTGGTCAGATATGTCCTTACTTCGCTCAAGAGATACACAACCCCCCAAACTTATTCTTTTCACTCAATTATCTCAGGGTTGTATTTTAAAGCTAGGAGATTAGGTAACTGTAGTCCTTACCCTCTCTTAATTTGGATTTATCTTGCTATCATAAGTTCACATGTCAACTAGTGAGGGCTCTTCCAAATTTGATTGCTTCAACCCTTAAAGTTAAACTAAGTTATTTGCCTCGCATTGAATGTGTAGTTTTATCAACCAAATGTCCAAGGGCTTTTTACATGCTATTATCTTTTTTTTTTAATTATTATGCCACCTTCTCATTTGCTTTCTATATAACTCTTGTAGTGAGCTTTAAGCCGTGACTCCCAGACCAGTTGGCCTTAGGGCACTAGGTTTTAAACCCTTACATGCTTATTCACTCGAGTTATAAAGGCTCGATCAGATGACTTTTAATTAACTTCTTTCCCTCTCGCTTTTTATATGACCCCTGTAGCGAGTTTTAGGTCCGTGACTCCCAGACCAATTGGCCTTAGGGCACCAGGTTTGAAGATACCCTTACATGCTTACTTGCTTGAGTCATAAAAACTTGGAGAGAAGTGTCAAGTTCGCACAAATTAATTTTATGCCATTTATTATTTTTCTAGACATTTAGTATCCAAAACCAATCCCCCATTTAAAACTTTCACCTAATCTTCACCCTACTGGTCTAGGCAATCCACATACTAGAATTCATGCACGGAGCCCCTTTTTATCTCAATGCTCTCCTATGCTTGCTCAACCATCTCCAAGCTGCCTTACAATAATTTATGGTATAATTCAATAGAAGGTTATCCCTCACTTCCTACTTTATGCTCAAAACCCAGTTACTAACCTAACAAGTCAAGCATGAGTGTCGTGCATAGAGATTGTCAAGTATTGCATCACAAGTATTGGTTAATCTATTCAGCACCATATCCACAGTTTTGTAAGTTACACTAGTCCAATAATTACATCATAGTCGGTAAGGCTATTAAGCCCACACAAGCACTCATGAAATAAAATAAAGTAAACTAGATAAAATGTAAAATAAATTTTTTTTTTGTAACACATCAAGCACACAATATGTAAAAATGAAACATATATACTGATGAAACACAAATATTGATGAATTTATGCAAAGTGATGAAAAGATGTTCAAAATTATGTCACCCCCAAACTTAGTTAATACATTATCCTCAATGAATAATTAACAAAAGTTGAAAGACATAATTGAAGGACAATTTCAAAAAAAATCTAAAAGAGTAAACAATACTCCGTTGATCAATATGGAGGTGGTGGTGGAAAGATGGGTCCTGCTATACCATCATCTGGAAGTGGAGGCAGGCGCGCTAAAATCTCTCTTATTATCACTGACTGCTGCGCCATCTCATCTTGGATTTCGCCAACACGTATCTCCATGCCGCCCAGAGGCTCCCAAGTCTCATTTACTCGCATCTGAATGCCATCCACCCGGCCCATATACATACTTAGTCGACCGTTTATAGTTTTCATCTCCCTCCTGGCTGCCTTGGAATCCAGGTGAGCGGCTCGTGTCATATTTGTGGCGACGTGGATGTCGCGTCGAGCTATCTGTATGTTAGTCGTCAAAGCCCCCATAGCCTACTAGAGACCCTGTATGTCATGACTGGTTCCCGTGGTAGTGGCGAATATCTGTCGCCATAATTGTGTATCCACCTCAATCTATGGTGGTAGATCTTGTGGCATCTCTTGATCTGCAGGCATCTGGCCCTGCTCTTCCTGCCGCCTGCGATGCTCATTTTTTTTACTTTCACTATACTTTATCTTGGCTCTGTTTTGAGCCTCCAGTGTAATACTATTTATAGGGAGGTTGAGCTCAAGAAGTGCCTTCCCTGGTGTGATATTGATGCCAACAGCCATGCATATGCCGGAGATGAGGCTGGGAAAAATCATTGAACTGTGCCTGTCTCCTAGAGTACCCACATGATGGATCTGATTATAGTAGAGATTGACGAGATCGATCTTTCCGCACCAAGTGATAGATGAACCCGGCTATGGGATCTGTGAATGTGGTCCTATGCGAGGTCAGCTTAATGTTATGGCACATAAACAACCACAAGATAGTTATAGACGTTGTAAGCTCAATCTGGTGCCATTCAGTGGTGGGGAGTGGCCATGCATTTTGTCACCCCAATAGGATCTTTGCCACTTCATTCCAATTGAAATCGCGCAGGATGGGGGTTAAGTTTTCCCACGTGAGCTGATAGTCCTGAATAACCTCTGGTGAGAGTATAATCCACCGTCTCTTGACCTATGTATGATGCAAGTGGTCGGAACCTGGTATGTCGATCTCTACATTGAAATTTGCGTAAAATTCTCCCACCAATGATTCATAGATCCGATGTGGCTGCTCTACTACCGTTGCCCACCCACAGTTATACACCAAAGTGTTCAACTCAAAACCTAGAAAATCCTCTAATTTAACCGCCCACTCTGGTGTTACTATCCATCGACTCACAATGTTTTCATGGCTGCTGTCCCGAAATTCAGAAATCTTTGTATCCCTCTTTCAAGAACTCTCCGTTTCAAGGTTCGTTTTGGAGGCATCCTGCAAAGTTATGAAGTAATATTCATTAGGTTTCATGTTGACACCTAAGGCATGGAATAAGGAAAACGAGGCATATATTGTCCAAATCCTCCCAAACTTGCTTCAAAATGCATGTATATGAAGTTGGTATCGAAAATGCATGAAATATGTCCCAATATAGGGATATTGTGTCAAGATAAGGATGTACCAACAAGACTTGGCCCAAAAACAAGCAAATTGGATAATAGAACCTATGACTATCTAAGGAATTTCACGCATAGGCATCACCGAGAAAATTCAAAATTTTCCGAGCAACCTCTAGGCATATGAAAGCTTTCATATTGTTCCACCACATATTCAAATTTTAGGGCAATCGGAAGTCGTTTGGTGAGATAATTTAAGGTTCAAAGTGTGTGACGTAAGGTGCCGTGACCTAGCCATGATGTGCCTTGCGTGTTGATATTGGGTGTTGGTGTTTTCTAATTCAAATTCCATCGTAATTCATCACAGATAGGTAATCCAATTCAATAATCAATCACATGTCATGCTAGATTCACAAGAATGCAATAAAATTTTAACCTAAGCATTTTATCGAACACATGGTATGCACAATCCGGAAGTCATAGGAATTGAAGAAATTGATGAATGAAATTAATCCATAGAGCACAAAACACAATCAAATTTTGTAAACCAACATCTACCTAAGCCCATTCTTCTCAATTTACAAAAAAAAAAAAAATGAAAATAACCTCACACCAAGCATAAAGACGTGAAAGGGGATGAAATTCATACCTTTGAATATCGTTAGTGTTGTGTTTTTGTGGTTGTCCCCAGGTGCTTCATTATTGTTGTGAGCAATTAGGATAATCTAATGTGACTTGACTTGAATTTGGACGTGAAATAGGAGAAATTTTGAGTCTAGGGTTCGTGTATGATTTGGGCAAGAATGAGAGTTGAGAGACCAAGTTACGGGTTAAAACCTGTACCTGGCCTCTTCTATGTGGCCGCATAGTATAATTCTATGCGGTCACATAGAACAAATAATCCGGCCCCTTAATTTCCCTGATTAAGTCTATGCGGCCGCATAGACTATATGCCTATGCGGTCGCATAGACACAATCAAGCTTTTTAAAAAAAAAAAAAAAAACTAAATGCACCTGGAAAATTTTTAAGAACACAATTGATTCCCCAAAATTCGGCCTCAACCAAAATTTCCCCCAAATTTATGGTTTTCAACTTGTGACTTCAAACCGACCTTTCATCGTCCCCCAAAATTTATCAAAACACATTAGACCATATGGGGCATGTATAGGTCATTGACTTAGTTCCAAAATCACTTTTTAAAATTGAAGTCACCCTTTGATCCCCGAAATACTTTGAAAAATACACTTTCTGCCTCAAAAATGCGTGATGTTCACATCCAATCACCTAAACACTAAATCAGTCATTCCTAACTTGTGCTCGATGAATAGGGACCCATGTGGGTAGTGCTTAGATTCGATTGACATGCATGGATGATCGATGACCTAAACCTAAAAAAATCAAACGTGAAAATCAAAATTTCATAAGCTAATACAAAAATTAAAAAGCAATGAAAAGGATACAGTGAGTTGCCTCTCACCCAGCGCTAGTTTATAGTCGTTAGCTCGACTTTTTTGTAATTGCTTCATTCTGGTGTCCCGAGTTGAACGGTGGACTTTTTCTTAGAGAAGTCACCGCCCCAGTAGTGTTTCAGTCTTTGCCCGTTAACTATCAAAGTACCCTTAGTTTCATGGCCGACTTTTATAGCTCCGTATTGTAACACCTTAGTGACTGTATAGGGACCCAACCACCTTGTCCTTAATTTTCTTGGGAAGAGCTTGAGTCTAGAGTTGTACAATAGCACTTTCTACCCCACTTCAAACTCTCACCTTAGAATATGCATGTCATGCCACTTTTTGGTTCGCTCTTTGTAGAGCCTTGCATTTTCATATGCTTCCATATGGAATTCATCTAACTCATTCAGTTGCAACAATCTCTTTTCACTGACAGCGTTCAAATCCATGTTTAACTATTTCATAACCCAATATGCCCAGTGTTCTATCTCTAGTGGCAGGTGGCACGCTTTTTCAAAAACTAGGCGGTATGGAGTCATCCCTATCGATGTCTTGAATGTTGTCCTATAAGCCCATAAAGCGTCATCCAACTTTTTAGACTAGTCCTTTCAAGATTAATTCACTGTAACCTCAAGTATTCTTTTCAATTTCCGAATAGAAACTTCAACTTACCCGCTGGTCTGTGGATGATATGGAGTAGCTACACTGTGTCCGTATTTATTCAACAATTGCTCCAAAAGTGTTTTCCCCCGTAACTGATTATAGCCCGCGGTGTGCTATATCGGGTGAAAATGTACTTCATGAACCCAATTACGGCCTTTGCGTCATTTGTTGGCAACGCAACTACTTCCACAAATTTGGATACATAGTCTACTGCTACCAAGATGTAATGATTTGAAAAGGACGGGGAAAAAGGTCCCATGAAATCAATCCCGAGATGTCAAATATCTTCATTTCCAAAATATTGTTTAATGGCATTTCATTCCTTCTTAAGATATTTTTAGTATGCTGTCACCTATCACACCTCTTCACTAATTCAAAGGCGTCTATGAACAATTTAGGCCAATAAAACCCTGACTATAAGATCTTTGCAGTAGTCTTTGACACTCCAAAGTGCCCCGCATATGCAGATGAGTGGCAATACTCAAGGATCTTGGGTACTTCTTCTTCAGGTATGCACCTCCGTACTATCTGATCAGCCCCTCGCCTATAGAGAATCGGATCTTCCCAAAAGTAGTACTTTAGTTCGGCAAAGAACTTTTTCCTCTGGTGGCTTGAGTAATCTGGAGGTGCAATGGACTTGGGCAAATAATTAACAATGTCTGCATACCAATGTGCTTCTTCTACTCTCAACATCTATTCATCTGGGAAAATTTCATTAATATCCACTAATTCCTCTGTCTCCCCAGACTCCAATCAGGACAAGTCATCTGCTACCACATTTTTACTGCCTTTTTTTTTTTAATCTCTGATCTCAATGTCAAATTCTTGCAGTAATAATATCCATCAGATCAATCTCGGCTTCGCATCCTTCTTTGTTAGCAGATACTTCAGTACAACGTGATCTGTGTAAACGATGACCTTAGACCCCACAAAATATGATCTAAACTTGTTGAATGCATATACTACGGCCAAGAGCCCTTTTTCAGTGGTAGCATAATTGATCTAGGCATAATTTAGGGTTCTGCTTGCATAGTAGATCACGTGAAAAACTTTATTTCTCCGCTGTCCTAATATTGCACCCACGACATGATCACTGGAGTCACACATTAGTTCAAAAGGTAATTCCCAATCTGGTACTACAATTACTGGTGCTGACGTGAGTTTTACCTTCAAAGTGTTGAAAACTATCAGACATTTCTCATTAAACTCAAAAGGTATGTCTTTCATCAGTAGATTGTACAGCGGCTTAGTGATTTTCGAAAAATCCTTTATGAATCTCCTGTAAGATGTTGGTGGCGGTAGCTTCTCAACAACCTGAATTTTCTCTTTGTCCACCACAATTCCTTTTGCTAAGACCCGACGTCCAAGTACAATTCCTTCCTGTACCATAAAGTGGCATTTTTCCCAGTTCAGAACTAAGTTAGTCTTCCTGCATCTCTGTAAGACCAAATTTAAATGCTCTACGCATTCATCAAATGACGATCTAAAAACTGAGGAATCATCCATGAACACCTCTATGAATCTTTCAATCATATCAGAGAATATTGCCATCATGCATCTCTGAAATGTAGCAGGAGCATTGCACAGACAAAATCACATCCTACGGTAAACGAAAGTGCCATAGGGACAAGTGAAAGCGATCTTCTCTTGATCCTCTAGCACAACTGGTATCTAGTTATAGCCCTAGTATCCATCAAGAAAACAGTAATGTGAATGCCCTGCCAACCTTTTCAGCATCTGATCAATAAACGGGAGTGGAAAATGGTCCTTTCGTGTAGCTGTATTAAGTTTGCGATAATCAATGTAAACTTTCCATCCCGTCACTGTTCTGGTAGGAATTAGCTCACTTTTCTCATTTTCCACCACTGTGATTCCCCCTTTCTTCGGCACAACTTGAACTTGGTTGATCTATGCACTGTCTAAATTGGGTATATAATGCCGGCATCCAGTAATTTCAATACCTTTTCCCTATTCGCTTCCTTTATGTTTGGATTCAGTCTTCTCTGCCCTTCTGTACTTGGCTTACAATTCTCCTCCATGAGAATTTTGTGCATATACAGTGAAGGACTGATCCCTTTAACGTTAGCTATCATCCACCCAATCCCTGTCTTATTTCTCTAAGTACCCTAAGCATTTTTCTTCCTCCACCTCACTAACTGTGTATGAAATAATCAACGGGAGTGTACATAACTCCTGCAAATAAGCATATCTGAGATGTGGCGGCAGTTGCTTGAGTTCTAATACTGGTGGCTGCTGAATGGAAGGTAATGGTTTTGTGGTCCTTGTTTCTAGCTCCTCAAAGTGTCTCTTTCGTGTGTATGGTGGGTTGGTCTCCAAAAACCTTGCACATGTCTCAATCTCAAGAGAGTCTGACAGGGTTGACTGAGAATGTTCAATACATGCCTCATAAGCATCGGATGTGCTATTAATTAAGAATGTTTCCTGGACCACCTTATCAATGACATTGTCTTGGAAACAGCTATCTGATTCTGAAGGGAGCTTCATGGCCTAAAAGATGTTGAATGATATTTGCTCCTCTCCGAATCTCAAAATTAACTGTCCTCTCTGAACATCAATTAAGGCTCTCCCTGTTGCCAAAAATGGTTTGTCAAGTATCAACAGGATGTCCTTATCTTCCTCCATGTCCAAGATTAGGAAATCTGCAGGGAATATGAATTTTTCAACCTTGATAAGCACATCTTCTATTGTTTCCTTAGGATGGGTCAATGACCTATCAGCCAACTGCAGTGTTACGGTAGTCGCCTTAGCCTCTCCTAAACCGAGTTTCCTAAAAAAGACAGAAGCATTAAATTAATACTTGCACCAAGATCACATAAGGTTTTATCAAAATAAACTTCACCAATAGTGCAAGGAACAGTAAAACTTCGTGGATCTTTCAATTTTGGTGGAAGCATTTTCTGAATTCTAGCGCTGCATTCTTCTGTAAGCATTAATATTTGGTGGTCCTCCAGCTTGTGTTTATTTGATAGAATGTCCTTCAAAAACTTTGCATAGCTGGGCGTTTGAGATAGTGCATCGGCTAGCGGGATATTGATTTGGAGCTTTTTGAAGACTTCTAGGAAAATCTTGTACTGCTGTTCCATTTTATGTTTCCTCAACCGCTGGGGAAATGGAATTGGAGGCTCGTATGGGTTGACTGTAGCTGTGGCTTTATCCCGTAAATTCTCTGAACTTCTCTTTGGAGTTGATTCTTTTGGTTGTTCGTCCTGTTCCACATTTTCTTCCTCTGTAGGAGGTGATGTCTCTCCATTTACACTCAGTCTCTTGACATGTATTTCGGGTAGCTGCACCCCACTTCGAGTTGTAATGGCCTTAGCTTGCTCCTTAGGGTTAATTTCTGTGTTACTCGACATATTACCCGGTGCTCTGCTAGTCAATGCCATGGCTAGTTGCCCCATCTGAGTTTCCAAAATTTTAATGGCTACATTTTGGTTCTGAAGGGTAGCTTCAGCTTTCTCCATGAATTTCCTTAACATCTTTTCCAATTGAGGTCTCTTCTCTTGTTGTTGAAACTGTTCCTGTGGCCTATTCTGATTCTAGTTGCTCCAAGAAAAGTTGGGCTGCCTCTTCTAGCTGGGATTGTAAGTTTTCCCATATGAGTTGTTCTGTTGGCACTGTCCCCACTGTAAATAGTCTGCTTGCTCAATTCCTTGCATTATGATTGGGCACTCTAATATTTTATGCTCAGCTCCACATTCCTCACAATTGCTCTTCTTAACTTGTGCTGACTTTGACATGTTTTCAACCTTGTGACACAAAGAGTCGATCTTTGCGGATATGGCTGAATAAGTGTCTATCTCGTAGACACCGGGACCTTTCTTTGGGATCACCCTCTCAGAAGAACACATGGCTGTAGTGGTAGCCATTCTCTTGATTAATTCCAATGCTCCATCAACTGTTCGTGTGGATATTGAGCCATCTGATACTGAGTCTACCATGCTTTTGTGGTATGGAAGTAACTTTGTATAAAAGAATTGGATTTGGGTCTTTTTATCAAACCCATGTTGAGGGCACTTTCGGAGCATGTTTTTGAATCTGTTCCAGGCACCGTCAAATGATTCAGCTTTCCCTTGACTAAATATTGATATGTCATGTCTCAACTTAGCTATCTTGGCCGGTGAGAAGAACTTTGTGCAAAACTTATGAGCCAGTTCGTTCTAGGTGGTAATGCTTGTGAGAGGAAGTGAATCTAACCACTCAAGTGCTTTATCCCGTAGCATATGTGGTAATTAGCCTTAGCCTAATAGCATCGTCCGAAATTCCTTGATATCTGAAATGTTAGCATATATCCAAGAACCGAGTTATGTGTGTATGTTGATTTTCTTTAGCTCTACCGTAAAATTGATGTCCATTCTGGAATAGCTGTATCACATTGGTCTTCAACAGGAAGTTTGGTTACCTAAACGGTGGATACACTATACTGGACTGGCTTTGAATCACTTGAGGAGTCAAGAAATCTCCCAAAATTTCATTTCCTTCATCTACTGCCTCTCCTTCATTAGCTTGAAAAACGGTGTTGTTCTGTAAGTTAGCCATTTGTTCTTGTTGTTGTTGACGTGCTTCTCTATTTTCTCGTTACAATCGGTGAAAGGTTCGCTCAATTTTCGGGTCTGCTGGAATTAATTCTCTTCCCTTCGTTGTAGACATGCAACTCTGCGAGAAAATCAATAGTAGCACTCAGATTCAATCAATATAAATAACTAAAATAAAAATAAAACAAAACACCTAAACGAAATTAAATGAATAAATAAAAATGAAAATTCAAAGTTCGAATTAGTGCCTAGAAAGAAATAAAATTAAACTAAACTCAATCCCCGGCAATGGTGCCAAAAATTTGTTTACGAAATATTTCTTTTGATTTAAACCATCGCAAGTGTACGGTTCGTTAACAAGTAATAAGTGGATATTTGAGTCCGAATATTGTCCCACAGGGATTGAGTCATTCAATTCTGCCTATCGTTGCCTTAACCGAAACTGAATTATCCAAATTGAATTCTTGACCTAAAGTAAACCCTAATTATGCAAATGTTATGAATTAAAGGATCTAATATGCAAAATGACATTTTAATTAATTAAAATGCAAATTAAATGGTTCGAATGCAAGTTTGTTGTATTCAATCAATGGTAATTGCAATAGGATCATAAATTCTCATGCAATAATTATCTTAAACCCTAGTTTCACAAATAACACGCGATTAAATTTTTTGACAAATCAATGCTCCTAATTCTATCCAATACTCTCTCTCTCGAGATGTATTGAACCTAATTTTACATACCACCGGCCTATATCTCTATGATAAGTGCATATATAAAAAATGCATTCGGTTTTATGAGTACCTAAAGATTCATATAAAGCATAGAGGTATATCTCTATCTCCTATCGGACCCTACGATAAATTATACCTTGTTGAATTTATTTCTCTTCTCTCGAACATATGAAATAAACCACCACACATCACATAATTATGTGCACTTAATTATGGAAGAAAATTAATGCATATAATTCATTCAAATATCCAAATACGTGTTTTAATGTCAAATTGCAAAACTAGAAAATTAAAGATTACATCACATGATTCATCGATCTCCTAGTACATGAAAATCTAGCCTAACATGGAGAAAGAATCAAAATACATAATAGATTGAAGAAAAAACATCACCGGTTTATGAATTTGTGTGAAATCTCGATGATCTTCGTAAATTTCTTCGTTCCTTTGGCTCAAGATCCTCTCCAAGATGTGTTTTATTGCCTCCTAATGTGTTCACCCCTTTGTTTCTGATGGACTTGGGTATTTATATCGCGTTTAGATTAGGTTTCAATAAGAATTTCATCGCGAATAGGAATCTGCAGAATCGGCCCCAGAATATGCCTATGCAACCACATAGGTTTATGAAATTTGGCGTATTAATTCCCTGCCTTGGTGTTCGCGACCGCATAGGGGTTTCTACTATGTGACTACATAGTAGAACAAACTTTCAAATTATGTCAAGTTGGTCCTCAAACTTTATTCCTCCACTTCTTGACCTCCTTTCATGTTTCTAGTTGTTCCAATATTCCATTATGATCTCCAATTGGTACTTAGCTTGATCGATTGTTTAATGTGTTCATCGGATCAACTTTCAAATAATTGCACTTTGGTTCCAAAACTTTCACTTTGCTTCAATTTAGTACTTTTTTGCCTCTTTTCTCCTAAATTTTACCATGTCCATAAATATATCCTACGATACACAAATTAATCAAAATTAAGTCACAATTCTAATATTTTGCTCTTAATTAAATCATGTTTGTGAACTAAATAAATGTGTAAAAACACACTTATCACCTACTTAAATAGAATTATCGGTGTTAGGTTTTTTGATGGAAAAAATGAATCCCACATTCACAGTAAAATTTTCCCTGACTCATTTCTTGTTCCTTTTGCATAACAAGTTTCATGAAAATGTTGATGGTAGCTTTTGGTTTTGTTTGTTTGTTTTGTTTTGTTTTTGTTTTTTTTTTTTTTTTTTTTTTTTTGTTTTGTTAAAATTTCACTTTTGAAGTCGACTATTAATTTTAATAACATATTTCGTGAGATCTACAAATATTATCGATTTATTTATCACTCGTTTCTTTAGAATTAAAATTTTAGCAAAAGTAAATGAAACCCAAACAATAACATCAATATTTTAATTAATTAGATGGAAACATATTAAATTAGGATGTGAAGAATTGCTCTTCAGAATAGTAATGAAATTCCTGTTTCAATAGATATATTTTTGTTTGGAAAATTAATAAAGAGGAATAGTAGTGGGCAATCTCGAGTGATTGAGGATTTTGTTGTCCAGCTGATTTTAATTTTCAATTCAATGGCAAAATCTAGTACAAAGATGGCACATGGTGACGATTGGAGACGATTTTTCTAAGTGCTTGAGAATATGGCTGTTTGGCCTTAATGGGGACTGAATGTGTAAAAGACTACCCTAGCAATTGAGAGTGTCAATTACCTTGACAAATTTTTGTTTTGAGGTGTTGAAGTAACAATTGAGAGTACGTTGACCTTTTGTAAGTGTTGTATGAGTTCTCCTTTTTTCAAGAAATAAAGTTGGGATAGTTCCCGTAATTTTATGTTTTACCTTATTTTCCTTTAGCGTTTCTGCTACACTTAGTTAAATTTGGCTTGTTTTCATTAATGGAAGTGCAATTGCACGAAGAATCGATTGACTGAGGTGAGAAACCTCAATCCTATAATATGTTGTGGTAGGATCTGAGATACCTTGTGACATTTTTGTATCAGAGCCCAATTTATATAGGTTGGTCTAATCAGGTACTTCTTTGCGCATTTGCCAGTGAGAATAGAATTTTGGATGCAAATCAAACTTTTATGGATTAAGTTAGCATGCTCGAGGACCCCGACAAGAGAAAGATGAGTTTGTTGGTGGGCTTGAAGTTGTGATATGGAAGAAACTAGAGAAATGAATTAAAGGATCAATTTCTTCAATGAATACTATAATAATAACATTGGGGGCATTGTGAATTTTAAGGTAGATGAACATACTGCAAGCATATGTAAAGGAATTTTGTTATTTGATGAGAATGACATGTATAACTTCATGTATAGACTACAGACACGAGTGCAAGTGGAGTTATGTCGACAGGACATGGAATGATGCATTGCTGACCTCAGGGACAGTCCCATTAAGGGCCTAATGGGGGCAATTGCACTCACTGAACCCGTCATTTTTAATCCAAACCCAAAAATCTTAAATCTTTGACATGGAAAAAAAATGCCTACATAATTCCAATTTCCCACTTAATCGCACTTCCTTTCTCCTAATTCTCAAACCCTTGCGAACCCCCTGCGATTCCGTATTCCAATCACCATATTTTGAAAAGAGGAGAAGAAGAAGAACAGATTGAAGAAGCAAAATTTTGCAATCCATCTCTCTTTCTTAATCTTATTGTTTATGTTTTGATAGTTATTTATGCTCATATAATTTCAAATCATCCCAAAATCAAATAATAGAGGCTTAAATGTTGATAGGAGAAGATTTTGTGCTCTGACTGAATTCTTTTTATCAGTTTATGCTTAATGAGTTTGAAATTTCGAATTTTGAGATTATTTGATTTGACTAAGTGAAATTATGTACATCAGGATGATAAATGTCATTTTTAGTTCTTTACCATTCAGTTTTTACTCAAATTATCGTAATCAAGGAAGTTTCAACAACGAACTAGAAATTGAAGAATTACTGCACTATATAAAATTTTTTGCTTCATATAAAGAGATTTTACTGCGTGAAATATGGGTAATTATTACTTATTTCATTTATTAAGTAGAGTTGTTGCACTGATCAGGTGAGTGGCTGGGCATTAGAAAAGTTTGGAATGGAGGGAATTCTTAAAATGAGATCTCTTCCATTGAATCTATTCCATCTGTCATGCAATTTGCAATTTCAATTCTAGATGTTCATCTTTTAACTT